TTTACTTAAGCGTACAGACAGGTGTCGCCTTTACATGACCACCGCAAAGAAAATATAAGCACCTATTATTTAATAAAAAACAAAACATTCGACTTTAAACAGATCAGTTATGTTCACTTGCTATAGAGAAACTGTTGTCTCAAAGCACCTACGACAAAGATATCGCCATGCCCTACAGCAGTCACTTAGTTTTATGCCCCCAAATACTGGCAAAAACGTGCAAAGAAACACGACAAAACCAGCTGAAGAGTTGGACGGTCTGTTGCCGACGGCGAACATTTTGCCCCTCACTGTTCTTGACAGGTTTATTCATGGAACGTGGAGATAACTTCGGACGGCTGCAGTCTCTGACTCTGAGATCAAGACAGTTTCATTTGGCAGGTCTCGATAAGTCCTGGATACCTGAAGACATAAACAGGGGCATGCTTTAATTCTGAACTGTTGAATAGGGCAGTGAGATGTTTCCTCAACACTGTGTGAGTCATTGACACTATGTGTCGTTGTTTCTCTATTCGTCACATGAAGGCGGAGGTCTTTTTAAACGTGCCCACATTCATCTAAACATGTTCCAAACCGGACAAAGTCGTCGATTGATTGATGTACCCAATTTTGACAAAACAGTTCATTTTTCCATTGAATAGGGTGGGTAAAACGTAGTCCTGAGCTGAAGCTGACACAGGGGAAAGCTGCTCAATTGCCATGTCCTTTTTTTAATTTGAGGAAATGTGTAACCCCACACAATCGAAATCTACCCCTGCAATTACCGCTATGCTCCTTTGTGCCCTGGCCCATGTACCTGTGAGATCTGTTTTCTTGGCCAAGACTACAAAACATCAAAGGGTCGTAATGATTCCTGCAATGATTGTCCAGAATGAAAGTATGTTTCTTTTTTTAAGGTTTTTTCCCCCCGCCTATTTCCTTAAGCAGACTTCTCGACAGTACATCTGTCAACAGAATATCTATATTTGTAAACTGTACACTAAAAATTGAGGATATCGATAAACGTTATCCTTTATTTTATTTCTTTCGGGGTTTTTGTTCTTTTCTTTCTTCCCCTTCTCTTTTCTATCTTACTTTTTTCTGTCTTTTTTGTTCATTATTTAAAGCCCATACTTATCGTCTGGGCCTCCTCCACAAACAAGGTTCAAATCAGTAAAGCTTTCTGGCCAAGTCTCACATGTCAAACTAAGTGCAACAATAAACGCTGACTCGTGTTACCTCATAACAAGGTACATCGAGGAAAATACACGGATACACACGGATACTTCGCTTCGTCTTGTAGACGGGACAGTGCATGGCCAACATAATACAACAGCCACATGGTATCAAATATCACTTTCAGAAGAAAAATGCCAGTTGCATTTAACTGTCTAGTTGTATACATGTTCTCAATTTACCTACAAGGCTTGGGTCACTCCCACCCCAATATTTTGTTCTCTATTTTAATGTAGTTTCAAAACACAGCATAGTGTACATCCGTAGACATGTTCACATTTTAATCGAGAACAACAAAGGGAAATGAACACACTAGAATGGAGAAAAACAGTTTACAATGCAATGTCGGGACTTTATTGACACACTGTATATAGATCTAGAATGGGGCACAGAAAAACAAATTAACAAATTTGCCACCTTTTGAACACAAGTAAAGAATTGTTACAACAGATAAAACAATAAAATTACAGTATTTCGGACACATAAAAGGACATTCCTTAATCTGCAGGACTATACTAGAGAGTGAATTGGAGGGAACAAGACCGAGAGACACATGATTATAGATTGGAGTTACAGAAGGCCATGGTGGCTAGGTGCTCCTTAATTGGGGACTACCTAGACACCGTGACTACGTAGTCCTCAATTGGTATCTACCTAGACACTTCCTTATCTAAAACGGCATTATTCAGCATGTTGTTTCTTGTTTTCCATACAGTGAATGAATATTTGTGAACAAGAAAGAAATAAACATTTTAATAGCATACAATTGAAGTAACATGAATTATATGAATTTACACAAGATACTTTTTCGAAAATAAAACCTCCGAAAAAAAAGAACAGTCCAAAAACTGCTTCTATCACGACTTCTAATATTCAAAATTCAAAAAATAAATTTCTTTCTGAACAGCATATCAATATAATTATACACTTTCACCCGGGTTTTCACTCACATTTCACTCATTCGAAATCGGATTGACATACACTTATGAAATTGGAACACGTTTAAGGAGAGGTAAAGATGGCTTTTTTTTTAGAGGTGTCTAACAAAGAGGAGCCAATTGTAGGGCAATAATTCGGTCATCTCGGCATCAATTTAAACAAAACTTCAAACAATTTAAAATTCACCTACAGTGGCCTCAAGATAGTAAATATGAAGAAAAACAATTTAAGTGTTCGAGAATTATCAAGTTTTCAACATTTCTACAAAAGCCTACTTCTTAAAAGAGGTCAGCAACAGGGGCGTGACCTTGACAGTCATAACAGATGAATACCTTAAAATGCTGAGAAAGTTCAGGAAAAGTTTGGGGAAGTGAAGTTATTGTACTGTAGAGGCTTGGTTATGGTGGGATAGAGCCGCACCCCATACGTCAAGAGTATTCCTTGTACACCTGAAATGCCGAAAGTTTACAAATAAATCGTCACCACCACCCCCCTCCCAACCCCTCAAACTTGAGCCCCTTCAATTATCACCTCTGGGTTTTTGTTTTTACAGACTGGATCTACCGAAAGAACCTCCAACAGTTGGTCAGCTGAAACTCAACGTTGAACAGGACATCCAATGCATCGACCCTGAAACCACAGGCCACGGGGTTATTCAAAATTGCCATTTACGTACTCGAGCTTTTGTGAAGAGAAATACACCTGGACATCAAATAGCCATTACCTTCATGACTTTATATTGCATTAACAATGTTGTATAAGTTTACTTTTCTATGCATAATACATAGAGACAAGCTGGAAAAGAACGATCTGGGTTTGTTTGTTGGGCTTTTGTGTTTTTATTTTTGTTAATTCTTTTTTTCAAAGAAACTGCAAAGTTTTACGTATTACTCAGTTTTGGTTGAAACCTTTGAAACTTGATATTTTTCAAATCGTAGACAATTTTTGTTAACATTGACAAATTATGTATCGCTCCTCTGGTCGAGTTCTATTTCTTCGAAGTTTTGTTTAAATCAGTCTAAAGATGACCTAGTTCTTTCCCTTTAAATAGTTCCTCTTGTTTTAGACGCCCGTAATTTATATCAGAGCACCTGGGAACGGCGACTCTATTTTTAAAAAGAGGGGAAAAAATCGTCCGGGGAACAGCGACTGCGCAAGGCGAATATCTCGTCTTGGTTGTATCGATCATGATATCGATACGGCCCGCCGAAGGTAAAATTTTGTTTGTAAACTTATTAAATGCTACGTTCTATTGTAGAAATAATATCAATTTCGGAACCAGCGTATCAACATTAACAGAATGACTCGCGTATGACTCTTTTTCTTGCTGGATTTAGAAGATCGCAAAAAAGGGAGTATTTTATCAAGATTGCATCATGTAGTTGCTTCTTATCACAAAGAGGAAGAACAACAGTCAGTTTTAGCCAATCTCGTTGGAGTTATAGACCCCTATTGAATTGGGAGAGGCGAGCTTTGGCGCAAAATCACTTTGAAATTTGCCGTCGTGTGAGATTAAACTTTGCTTGAAGAGTTTGAGAAATAATTATCGCAACTAAAAATTGATTTCACTTTCGAAATCAGCGTATTAAAATAAGCAAAGTGGTTCGCATGCAACCTGACTTGATGCCATGTATTCAAAATTTAGCAAACTTTGTCTTTGAATTGTCAATTTTGAATTTGAAGTCATGTATCGAGGTTACCACTGCCTTGAGCATCTGACGTCACAGCTGCCAGTCCTTCACACTGCACACTGCACTGTCACTGCACAGTGTGTAAAGTATGACACCTTGGTCAAAAGACACTGTTGTTCTCTTTATTGAGGTGTAGGAACCTACAAATCCCTCAAATGTCTATGGACGATTAAGTCCAGACAATACAGAGGCAAATTGTAAACAGAGGGCGCACGAAGAACGTATTATTTTTGCAAATAGTTTAATCAAGGTGCAACTAAAGACTTTGTTGTTTAAAAAACAACAACAAACAAAAACAACAAAAAACAACAAAAAAACAAGACACACAGAAAAACAAAAACAAAACAAAACAAAACAATATCACAACAGTCTCAGAGACCAAACTTCGTTTTTAAAGCCAGTCTTTTGTCCAATGAAGCCCTTTTTTTAAAGCTTGAACATCGAGACGAAATGTATTATATTTAGAATAACTGTTTTCGATACTGTAAACTTTTGGTTTAGTCAAAGAGTCTACATAACAAGAGGGGCCACTTCTCTCTTTGAGCCAATTAAAAAAGTGTCCTCAAAATTCGGTGGCGCCCTCTTCACAAAAGCGCACTTTTTGCGAACAGAGTTACCCTACTTGAGTTTAAAAAATCAAAGTGAAACTAGCAAGTTTTTGAATAAATTTCGGAAGAACGCTTTTTTGAAATGGTTACACTGACAAAAAAAACCTCTTCCGGAGGAAAGGGTGATTGTTTTCTTCGTTTAATTTGACTTTAGAATCAACTTTTCGTTGATCCCGACAGAAGGGATAAGGATTCATTCGCCTGGTAATCTACCTTCTAGTTTCCTCGGATGCCCACATGGCTAGGTATCCATGCGAACATGATATGTTTCCCGGTTTCAGTCAATGAGCGTATTTTTTGTTGTAGCCCAACCATTTTTGGGTGTAGGAGTGTGTAGTTTGTAAGTGAGGTGATGCAAGACAGAGTCAGAAAGGATAAGGAAAAATTTGATAGGAGGATTTTCTATTGAGTCTAATGCCATAAATACTGAAAGCGATTACATCAAGATAAACTGTAACAATGAAAAAATATAGTAAAATACTAGTCGCTGTTCCCCGGTCGCTGTTCCCCGGTAAAATGACCAGGGAGGGGGTGGGTTGGAGGTCAGTGATAGTTATTGTTTTCTTTTAACTTTTCTCTCTGAGGTGGGGGGTGTCTTTTTATTTATTATTTCTTTTTGGAGTGGGAAGGGATCGTCTTTTTAATGCTGGTTTCAGGGGGTGCGTAAGAGGCCTATATTACATTCAAACTTAAAGAGCTTACAGACCCCGCTTTACATGGCGGGTACAGAGAAATAATAGGTCCTTCCTACACTACAAAAACAAAAACACTTTACCGTATACGGATCAGTTATGTTCACTTGTTACGAGCACCTGTTGGATTAAAGCACCCACGACAAAGATATCGCCATGCCCTACAACAGTCACTCAGTATTATGCCCCCAAATATTGGCACAAACGTGCAAACAAACACAACAAAACCAACTGAAGTGCTAGACGGCCTGTGGTCTATGGCGGACATTTTTCTCCTCACTCTTCTGGAGAGGTTTGCTCTAGGAACTTGGAGATAACTCTGGATGGCTGCCATCTTAGAGGACAAGACTGTCTCATTTAGCAGGTCTTTATTACTCTTGGATGCATGAAGACAAGTACATGGGCACAACTTACTTCTGAAATGTGGGTTAGGGCTGTGAGATGTTTCCTCAACAATGTATGTGTCATTGACACTGGTTGTCGTCGTTTCTCTATTCGTCACATGAGGCTCAGAAGACGTAAAGTTATGATTTGTAGTGTTGAATGATAAAATAGGAACCATTGAACCAGAATTTATCCTTTCTCTTCCCATGACAAAACCTCCAAAAGAACAGTTTTCAGCATTTATTTCAATTTTACTCACTGTAGTGTTTTGGGTGGGGGCGATTTCTCTGGAACAAAAACGAGTAGCCCCTAACAGATCGTCGGGTCTCAAAGGCGTTTGCAATTCTTCAATAGCTACTCCGACTTCAATTGTTGTTATGCACTTGCAAAACGCTGTAACTACAATTCGCACGTCGCTGTTGTCAAAAGTTAAAATTTCTGCACGAGTACCCCAATTGGAGATAGGATATTGAACTGCTGCCGACAGGTCAAATGAATATGTTGCATCTGAAGACACGACATACTGTAGAACCAACACGGGCGCAGAGGCATGCAGATTAATTATAATGTTTCCTAATTTGAAAAGTAAATAAGTGGAGGTATTCTTAACCATGTCTACGTTTATTTCGAGATGTTGCAAACCGGACAAAGTCGTTGATGGACTGACGTATCCAATTTTGATGAAGCTATTTATTTTTCTATCAAACAGAGGTGCTAAGACATAGTTCTGAGCTAGAGCGAACACAGGGGGAAGTTGCTCTATTGTCATGTCTCTTTTTGAACATATGTAAATGTTTAACCCCACACAATCGAAATCTACACCTGCAAAGACCGCTATGCTCCTCTGTGCCCTGACCCATGTACCTGTGAGGTCTGTTTTCTCGGCCAAGATCTGCAAAACATCAAGGGGTCCTAATGATTCCTGTATAAATTGTCCAGAATGAAAATACGTTTCTTTGTACATGATATTGCTTTGCATTGGCTCCAGTTTTAGGTCAATAGTGACGTCATTGACCCCCTCAGGGTTCACGACAAGAAGAACACACAAGGAAAATACACATTCTGTGACTACTAAATACTCATAGGATAGCAGAATGACAGGCAAAACATTAAACCCTCCAGCACTACTGGTATAACTTCCATGTACTGTAACTTTCAAACTTCTTGCCTGGACGACTAGCTGGGCCGAGGAAGTTACGACTATTCCTTGTTTCCTCCCGACACCTGAAATGTCGAAATGAGCCAAATACTCCAGGTTCAGAAGCCATTGCTCGTTTGAGGTTGACGTAAAGGTGTGTGAATATTCCTGAGTCTGTTTTTCGCCTGATGACGTCATACGTGCAGGTGCTGTTACAGTGACCGCGGTGTTCGGAACAAAGTCCTGTGAGAGAGGCGAGATGGCCAATGAAGCAACGGCGTAGTTGAGATGTTTTGGAAACGCAAGAACATACTGGAGTCGCTCGTCAGAAAGGATACCTGTAATGATCATAGCAAAGCACCAACACCGATTTAATTCTCGAAATGTTAATGTAGAAACCATGGTGAGGCTTGAGTGTCGGAAAAACAGTCAAATCGCCCCCCTGTCGCGTTACTGCAACTAATAACCGGTATTATAGAAGCAAACATATTTATACCTGGAGAATTCAAGACAACTGAGCTCAGTTCTTTAGTCAATAGACACTTGTGTCTTTGTCCATTATGTCGATTACGTATTCTGCATCCAAATACAATCCGTCTTAGTTGTATATTGATTTATTCAGTTTTTGTGTTTCTTACATTCTGTGAGTAATAAAGAAATGTAAGTCTCTGTTGTATTGGTTTGGAATGTGGTCTTGTTGGAATGGAAACAGTAATAGGAAAAGACTGGATATTAGAGGATGATATTCAAACAGTATCGGGTATATTGTATTGTGTCGTCATTCAAACTTGATAGCTATTCTACCGCCAGAGGGCTCTGTCTGTTCCTTTTTCCTTTTGCCCGTTCATATTTCCATCGATCTTACAGTACTCATTGTCTCTGAAGTTTCAAGACGAAAGGAAGCAAGATTTTATTGATTACAGTATACTTGAGCCTTCTGTGAAAAATTTATTGAATGTCAAGAAATAAAAAGTGTTTTTATGTAATGAAGGGACTCATTTTGGTCTTTAGCTGGGCCATGGCGCACTGTTCAATACTTTTGTGTATCGGATAATTAATCATTTCAATTGGGACTGGTCAGCGGACGAAGGCATCGTTTTTCTGTGCGTGAAGGTGAAATACCAGATTATATTACTCTATATGGTTGTGTAACCAGGGAAGACTATAGACAATAAAAGTTATTTTCTGTCTTTTTTGCAGGTTTCCGTATAGAGATAAGACTGTTGCAAAAGCGGGGAAACTTTTTTGTTGATCTGAATAAACCACAAAGTTATAATAGTTTAAAGGTCCCGTAGGGTGAAGGTCTAGTTGAGATCTCCATTAGAAACGTACCTGACCCAGGGCACACATCCGGGGTATCCACTCTGTTTTCGGCCAACATATGAGTAGCTGTGACGTCATACAGGAAACACATGTTGTTTACTAGAGACCTCAAGTGGGTCTTTTACCATTCACACCTGAAGTTATATTGAGAAACAGAATGACGAAAGGCCATCGCATATTTTTATAAATTTATTTGATAGTGTGAAATAAAGAGGACAGCATTATTATAGATCTAGGCTGATAAAAATTCGTGGCACAATTTACTGTCAAAAGTCTCTCGGTTATAGAATTACTACTCTCCTAACGCTTGCACAATGATTTGTATCAGTTTGTGTCAACAAATCAATATTTTCTTTAACACCTTGTGTATTGAAAGATGAGTTTGTGCTGTTGAGGCTAGAGAGGTGAGCAGAGAGCAGAGTAAGCCTGATTCCCCGTTTGGACTTCTCTTTTGACATCCACCGCTTGGCGCTCATATGACCTTACGCACTTGTGAGAGACGTAACACCTTTCTTAATAACAATAAAAATAATAATGGATTGCATTTACATAGCGCATATCCACTTATGCAATGCTCTATGCGCTATACATGATACATATTATGGGTTTACAAATCAATTTTAAAGGCACATAGTGTTACCTACGCATGCCCACACATACTCACGCACGCACGCACCACACACACACATACACACATATTTACACACATACACACATACGTACATACGCACATACACACATACAAACTCACAACGATCTACAGCTTGTGTGGAATTTGTCTAATCGAAATATGAAGAAAATAGAAATGCTTTTAGTTTCTTCTTAAAAATGTCTAGATTTTCTGCTTCTCTGATAGTTTTTGGAAGCCTATTACAAACAAGTGGGGCAAAATATGAAAAAGAGCGTTGGCCATATGATTTATAATGTATTTTAGGTTTAACAAGGGTTGTTTTGCCACTTGATGATCTGAGCGTTCTATGAGGTACATAGGATGTTTAACACAGTTTTAGATAGTCAGGTGATAAATCATGTTAGCACTTGTAGCAAGTTAAACAGGTTTTATATATGATACGCTCTTTCTCAGGGAGCCAGTGTAGTTCTTTTAAAATAGGAGTCACATGATCCTGCTTTAGTTTCTTTGTAATTATTTTGGCAGCAATATTTTGTACTCTTTGTAGTTGTTGTAACTGGTTCCTCAGGTACACCAGCCAGTAAGGAGTTGCAATAATCAATCTTTGACAATATAAGTGATGTTATTAAAGTTTTGGTGACACCAAAAGATAAATATTTTCTAATGCTCCCTATTTTCTTCAGTTGGAGATAAAGATTTTTTACAAAGATTGGATATATGGGATTTCATTGGCATATCTTGATCTAGCACTACACCTAAATTTTTTATTTCAGTTTGGGCTGATATTTCGTGGCCATTGACGATTATTCTGATATTTGCGATTTCATTGCATGCACTGCTACGAAGAAATAATATTTTGGTCTTATCCTCATTTAATTTTAATTTGTTCTTAAGCATCCATTTTCTTATATCATTGATACATCTAGGGGGCTCTCGTGGCCTAGAGGTTAAGGTGTTGGCCTCTCATTCAAAGGTCCCGGGTTCGAATCCGGGTAGCGACCAAAAAATTGTCTTTTCTAAAATTGTCTCCTTTCACCTCCTTTCCTGCTCTCTGGCAATGTTCTGTTGTCTGCTTTATCTCCACTTTCTGCCCCCACCCCCTCACCTCCTTTGCCCCCTCCTCTGGGCTCCTGACTCTTTCTGCAGCCTTTCTACTGCTACTCTTTGGCTCCTCCTTACTGCTGTCTTTCTGCCACATCCCTGATCTTCTGGTAGGAAAGATCTACACCTAGCCTTCTCGGACAAGGGCAAAAAATCTCGGAGGGCCCGTGTGCAAGTTGCGCACGTTAAAGATCCCTTGGTGGTCTAAAATCGATAAGAGTAGGCTTCGGCCGCCACCCGGGCAAAATTCAAAACTTCCTAAAAACTGAAAATATTAGGTGTGTCCCGCGCGCTCATATGACCTATGCAGTTGCGAGCGCCGTAAAACACTTTACAAAAAAAAAAAAAAAAAAAAAACATCTGGCGATTATATCTATGAGATTGTGTACATTGTCAGTTGTAGTGAATCCATACAGCTGTGTATCGTCTGCATAAAGATGGTAATTGGGGGCATATAAAGAAGTTATTGATGACAGACTTTGCGTGTACATTGTAAAGATGACAGGACCAAGGACCAAACCCTGAGAAACTCCATACTTTAGAGGTGACCTATCTGACACATCATTGCCATTTTTCACTGACATAAATCTATTTTCTAGATATGATTTAAGCCACATTAGAACAGTACAAAAAGATGAGCCCAGGACGAAACTCGAGGTAAGGCGCGTTGTTTGGCTTCGTCATTTGGCTCGTGAGTAGGTTTTGGTTTTTTTATTGTTGTTGGGGGTTTTTTTGGTTGCTTTTTGTTTCTTTTTTGATGTTGTTTATACGTTTTCATTTGTTTCGTTTTGTTTTGTTTTATTTTTGTTTTGTTTTGTTTTTGTTGTTTGTTGTGTTGTTATTATTATTTTAATTTTATTATTTTTTTTTTTTTAAAATTTTTTTTTTTTTTTTTTTTGGGGGGGGGGGGGGCTGTTAGTGTTGTACAGAGCTCGCAACAGCATAAGGTCTTACGAGCGTGCTGGATATATCATGCATTTTCAGTTTAGTAGAAACTAATTTTGAGTTTTGCAGGTGTGACAACCGAAGCCTTGTCTAATCGATTTTAGGACAGCCAATGGATTTTTAAGGTGCGCAGCTTGCCATGGGCCCTCCCAAATTTGTTAGCCCCTATCCGAGAAGGGTAGTTCGTTGAAGATTGAGCAGCAAATGAGTGCGTCCATTTGTCTCCGTGTAGGGGTGAAATGCGTGATAGTTCATTATAATATTCAATACAGTTAGGTACACATGGAAGACTATAGACTCTAAAACAACATCAGATAGTTTGGTCACTTTTTGTCTGCCTGAGGTTACAACACAATAGAATCAAATCGTTCGTTTAATCTTCTCAGATCTTTGCGTACGGTCAAAAAGTTGGACGACCAGTGGAATCCGGAACCTCATTCATAAAGGTCACTGCAAATTATAGTCCCGGCACGTTTTGTTTGAAGTTAGCGTAACGTGGGTAAACAATAATAGAGGATTTATAACATACACCTGAGGGCTCTCGTGGCCTAGAGATTATGGTGTTCGCCTCTCATTCAATAGGTCCCGCGCGCTCATATGACCGTATGCAGTTGTGAGCGCCGTAAAAAAACTTACCAAAACAAAATAAATTAGAAATATAATACACACCTAAAACTTTAAAACGTTGTCCTCTTTTCCATAACACACCTTTTTAACGCACGCCTGAAAAATACGGTCCAAGAGACGGGGTCAGTACTTTTAGAAACTCTCATTGAGGACATTTTAGGGCAAAAAATTGCGGGGTTTTTTCACTTAGAGGAAAGGGGGTGTCATCTTTGTGAGTGTTTTTGAACATGTTTTGCTATTGATAGGGACATAAGACCTTTATTTTGGGAAAGTAGACATTTCAAAGTACTTGAATGTCCCTATCAATAGCAGAACATGTTCAAAAACACTCTCAAAGATGACACCCCCTTTCCTCTAAGTGGAAAAAACGAATTCTTTTTGTCTTAAAATGTCCTTTTTATGAAATGGGCATAAGTGGGCATCATTTTGAATATTGTGATCTCTAATTTCGCAATATGGCGATTCAAAAGCAGTTCGGACTTGATCATTGATGTAAATAAGTTACAAGTAATATGTCTGTTTCCATTATTATTTAGCTGAGAATGGTGTGTCGTCATGATATATGCAACTAGATAACTGCGCTCGTGCATATTGTGCAGTTTAAAACATGTTTAACTAAGTTCAAATTCAAGTTAATCAGCATTTTGTGAATGAACTCCCCTGACAGTGCATGAGCACTTGAACATACCAGAACTGGTTAAATACCGAAGATTTCGGCCAAAGCCCACTCTCATGGCGTCGAAATGGGGATCGCCCCCCCCCCCCCCCCCCCCCCTCCCTCTCTCTCTCTCTCTCTCTCTCTATCTCTCTCTCTCTCTCTCTCTCTCTCCCCCCCCCCCTCCGGCGTCATACGGCCCTCTACGAGAGCTCGGCAAGAGCTTCCGAATTTCCGGATAAATCAGGAAATCCAATTTCTGAAATAGTCCGAATTTTGCCCGACTGGCCGATCGTTGAGAAGCTGTTGCACATTTAAAAAACAACAGTCTTGAAAAGAGATATATGAGAAAACTGTTTCGTAAATTTTAAGCCCCGTGCATTTGATTTCACGAAGTCGGAAAAGTTCAGGACTTTTTTTTTGGAAGCCAGTTAGCACAACTGCTCGATACAGCCGATCTACGTTATCCTCTGTCCTTGACCGGGGCGACGGCTTAAAAAAACAACAACCCAACCTAATACAGAAATCACCATCTTTTCGTTTTACGGCGACAAACGTCTTGTACGGGACGCCATGTATTCGGATCCATTCTTGCCGCCGCCAGCCAACTCTTCTGCTCTTGCCCTCGACAGTGCTGCGTAGAGTCGAAGAAACCAAGTCGTTTTTCAAAACAATATCCATCCCCGAAGGAAGGCCTTTTCAATATTGGCAGTATACGAAAGTCTGACCCAGCGATCGTAACCCAACAGTACACCCATCCCCACAAGCCATTGTCTCCACTCACTGACCAGCCAAAAACCCTCCCACACGACACGCCCTAGTTGCGGCGAGCCTTGAAGTCTCCCACAAGTATCTGAATAGGGTTGTACCATGAATGCAGAAAAGTTACCGAAAACTTCCGTTCTAACTTATTCTCTAAGTACGTATTTTAGTATTCTGTTGTGAATACAAAAAGCATAACAGCGGTTTGAACAGAGTTCTTAAATATCATGCACGAAAAATCTTGAACAGTGTGGAGATAAACATTGTACGAAAACGACCAAACAAGTTCTGTATCGTCGTTGTAAACTTAGAGGGATCAATGGTTGAAGAAAAGGACAAGAAAAAAATTACAAGCTGAGGACTTAAATCAACCTTCCCTGAGCCTGAGAGACGACAGGGTCGACATTGATGAGCAACCGAATGCTGAGAGTGAGACACCAGCGTGGATGGAAAGTAAGTGGAAGGATAATATCACACTGAATTCTCCACCTTCCCCCCCCCCCTCTCTCTCTCTCTCTCTCTCTCTCTCTCTCTCTCTCTCTTTCTCTCTCGCTTTATGTGTGTGTGTGTGTGTGTGTGTGTGTGTGTGTGTGTGTGTGTGTGTGTGTGTGTGTGTGTGTGCGTGCGCGTGTTATGTCTTTGGCCCAGAACCAGATATTCATTCTTTCATTCAAGATATTTGCAAGCGTATTTTATATCATGTATGCTTTTTTATACAGATAAAGAGATAAGGAAAGTTTATAGCACAGCTATCTTTTTTTTAATTTCTTTCAACTACGAGACGAGAACTGAAAACGAAAGCTCTCAATATTATCGCCAGGTCTCCTTATCTGAGAAACTCATTATCGGTCAATG